TTTAAACTTTTTTTTAAAATTTTTTTTTTTTTTTTTTTTTTTCACAAAACTAACAGCCCCAGGCTTTGGAACCGTTGCTGTGTTTATTTATAATTTAGAAACCTTTTTTATTTTTTTATTTATTAATTTTTGGAATTACTGTAACCGATTTCCTGCGGGCATTTTACTTTTAGTTTATTCCCAACCACCAATCACACCTCCATTATATTTGAACGCTGTTCTCGCCAATTAAATTTTTTTTTTTTTTTTATTTATTTTTATTTTTATAAATTCATAATAGCGATAATAATGGATAATGTAGAAAAAGAAAAATACCAATTGGACCACGTTGGGGTACATTGGAGGGTTAGGGATTGTAGATTATTAGATTTTTTACCATATAAATGCGAATGGGGAAAGCAGTATTGTCATGACCATCGGGATCCAAAAGCACATGATTGTATAAAAAAAAATGAAAAGATAAATAAAATAGTGCATCCTTGTCCGATATGCAATTGTTTAGTTAAAGTTGATTCGGTGGCTTCAATCGATCAAGTTGTAGGTATAATAAATCAATTCAAATTGATGCTGGAATATTAGTACTAATGTTTTTTTCATCATAGATTTCAAGGCATATAGATAGTGGTGAATGTGGTAAAACTAAACCTAATGTACCTAAAAGTTATGCATGTACATTTAAAAGTTGTAAATCTACCGAGTTTGTAAAAGTATTGTGTGATAAATGTAAAGTTAATTATTGTTTAAAGTAGGTCATAGGATATTTATAAATACATCTATATTATTGGAGGTGTTATGGTTTTAACATATTTTTATATAATTATTATTTAAATAGACATAGATTTCCATCAAGTCACATGTGTCCAGGGAAACCAATAAATAATACATCAACTAAAACAGCAAAGGCATCATTTACCACAACATCAACAACATCATCATATAAAAATATTAGCGATTCACAATATCATACTGAACAAAAAAAACAAAAAAATGATTTAACAAGTTTAAGAGAAGAACAAAAACAAAGATATATTTCAGGTGATTTAGGGTACTTAATTTTATTATTTATTATCGTTATAATATTATATTATCATAAATATTACAATGGTTACAGTTAATTTTAAAATACACATAGTTCATCATTTTAATTTATTTTATAATTTTTATTAAATACTTGTATACATATAGGGAAATTAGGGTGATTCAGACTAATGGATACAGAATTCAATCAAATTTTAAAAAGACAGATACTTTAAGAAATGTTAAAGATTTTATAAATATTAATCGTACTGATGGTACTATTCCTTATGCAATTTGTAAAGATTCTTCTGGCCAAACACCATTTTCTATTTCACAACTTGATTTAACATTACAACAATTAAATTTACTTCCAATCTCAACTTTATACATGGTTGTAAGTAAAAATAATTTATTTTCTTTAAATAACAGTCAATATAACAAAAAAAGACCAATCGAGCTTATCATTATAGATGATGATGATTAAGGTGTGTTCAAATTTAATTAATAAAACATTTACTTTTTCAATTTAGCCTTTAGACAATAGAAGCGGAGGAGCAGGTGGTAATAACAACAATAACAATAATACAAACCAAGAGGGTTTACTATCTTTTTTAAATCCCTTTAAATTTTTCAAATAGTTAAATTAAATTTAAAATAAATAAAAGATAAAGTAATAAATTAAAGAATTTAGTTATTTTATTTTTTTTGTTTTTTTATAAAACTAAGAATAATTTATTTTATTTGCTATTTAAAATCCTCCTGTGTATTTTAATAAAAAGTCTAATAATTTCTCATTATTGTATGATCTGGCAGTTGAGATGAAGACGCCTACTCTATCTCTATACTGGGAGGTGTTTTCATCTCTTAAAAAGATACCATATTTTGAAAATACCTTTTTAAAAATTTGTAAATAACCTTTTTTTGCTGCTATTTTTGTCAATAGGTTGAAGTTACTGACTTGATTTTTTTTAAGAAAAAAAATTATTAGTTTTTCTAAAGATTTGATGGGAAGAATGGCGAGTATATTGTACTCCTGAGAAAAAAATTTAATATCCCAATAAGTTGGAAATTGCTCTAAATATTCGATGCCTTCTTTAATACGGCCACAATAAAAAAGAAATAAAATTAAGATAAATTCGAAATTTCTAGATATTCTTGATTTAATGATATTATAAAATAAATCTTTGGAGATATTGGTTGATATTTGATAAATAAGCTGAGTTGGTTTTAAAAAATTGTTTTTGTGATAATATTTGTTTTCAAATATATCATGTTTTTTTTGGATTATGATATTGAGGGCGGATAGATAGGGGTTGGTTACTGGTAGGGAGCTATTGCGCTTTAAATCATTACAGTTATCGAATTTATATATTGATGGGTATAATAATGCTCTATATAATATAAACATATAAATATTTAAATTATCAGAATAAACTATTCTAAATTTTTTCGAAGATTGTTTCATTAGCATTTCATAGTGTATTAGAACATCTTTATTGTTGATATATTGCCAATTTTCATTCCCATCTTCAAAATAGAGATTTTTCTCGAAGAAATAGTCAAGTGTTTTGGTATCTGAAATAGATTCTAGAGCACTTTGTTTAAAATATGTACAATTTAAAAACGGCTTTAAATTCTTTTCATAATGATCTTTAAGTTCAATATCGTTTCCAGAGAGTATTAAATTTGCTAAATATCCCAGAGATTTGGGTGATCGAGTATTATTGATAAATTCTATTTTCTGTTGTTTATTTGAAAGTGTAACTTGAAAAAAATCTTGCACCATAGATAGTGTTAGTGTTTTTCCCTCTGATACCAACATATCTTTTACTCTATCAATTTCTTTAAAGTAATAGTAGTAATCCATTGGTTTTCTGGTTTTTGATCGTTTTTTTTGGTATTTTTTACTTATATGAAATATTATTTTATAATAATTATGTAGTAAACCTATTAAATGGCTTATATCTTGTTGATTTGATGCCTGAGTTTTGTGTTGTATAATTAAATCCCTAATGGTGGAGTTTAATTGGTTTTTTGTAAAGTGATTGGATGTGATTTTGTTTGTTTCTATTATTAAATTATAATATTTATATGTATCATTGTTTAGACCATTATTATTATTATAGTAAAGGGTGATTATATATTTGTATATTTTGATAAGTTTTTTCAATTTAAATGGTTCCACCAGAATGTTGATATATACTTGACTTCCAAACATATAGTTATTGAATCTAAGTCTAACCAGAGGTTCAATGAATGATTCTGAAACATGACCATAGTGTTGTTTAAGGTAGAAGAGCATCTTGATATCTAAATAGCTGTTAAAAGAGAATGATGTAACCGGAAAGGTATTCTGAATTTCTTGTGGACTAATTTTAAAATGAAATATATATTTTTTAAGTGCTGCTAAATTACAACTTTGAAGAATTGACTCTATCCATATGTTCCAATCTTTGAAATTAATATTTGATTTTGTAAAGAGTACATCATAAAAATCTCTATTATCTTGGTTATCTTTAATAATGTTTTTGAATATTTCTATTATATCATGGTGTTCATTTCTGAATACATATTTGTTACTAATTATTTTATCTTTTATTATATATATTGCATTTGTGAATTTATTGAAAATATATTCTGTACCAATTAAATCATCATAGCTACATGATTTTTTTAAAATAAAATTTGAAAATATTGAATTGAATATTGTTTTATTTCTAAAAACTGCCCAAAATAGTTTCTCCATCAAGGAAATGTTTTCAATTATTAAAATGTTGTTATTTTTATTAAATGGGTTGATACTTTTATTTTTTATAATTTCTTTTTCTATTTCGTTATCTAATTTTAAACGATTAATTATTTTATTGTACAAATCTTTTTTTCTATAATTAAATCTAAAGCACAGTGATTCTCCTATTTTTTTCAAATTCTCTTCTGAATACTCCTCTATTTTTTTTTTTTTAAATTTTTCATAGGTAATTGTTTCCATTTTATTTTATCTTTTAAAATTGATGTATATAGTTTTAATTTTATTCATTTTTCTTATTTTATATAATAGATTGCCAAGTTTATAAATATTAAAAAAATTTTTATAAAAAAAATTTAAAAAAAATTAAAAATTATAATTTTGAAAAATTTAAATTATTATATGAAAACTAAAAATATATTAAACAAACAGGTTATTGGACTAGTTTTTTTTTTATTTTTTTTTTTTTTATTTAATTGTTGTAAATACAATCAATTATTTTTCATTATTATTTTATTTTATTTTATTTTTTATTTATTGATTCAAAAATAATTATTTGTCATTTTCAAAATGCCACAAAAAAATTAATCATCAATTTTTTAAAATTATTTTTTTAAATTTTAAACGATTTTTTTAAATTTAAATTTTTTAATACGAAAGTGAAATTTCTTTTTCGTTCTAATAATCAAATTCAAACAATAAGCAATTCGTAAATAATAAACAATTATTTAATTAAAAATAATTAAAAAATAAACAATTAGGTAAAAAAAAAAAAATAATGTCAAATCAAAAAAAAATAGAAAAGGATTTAACATCGTATGTTTTTTAAAAAAAACATTTACAAAAAATTATAAAAAAAATGATTATATTAATTTTGTTATTTATTTATTTTATTTATTTTATTTAGATTTGTTAAAAGTATTTTTATTTTAAAAAATTAAATATTTTTTAAAAAACTTTTAGTATTAAATTTTTTTTTTTTTTAAATTAGATTCTTTAGTTGGGGGTACAGCAGCAGGTATTTCAAAAACAATAGTTGCTCCAATTGAACGTGTAAAATTACTTTTACAACTTCAAGCAGTGTTAACACAAATCCCAGAAAATAAGAAATACAAGGGATTTGTTGATTGTTTCGTTAGAATTCCAAAAGAACAAGGCGTTTTGGGATATTGGAGGGGTAATATGGCAAATGTCATAAGATACTTTCCAACACAAGCATTAAACTTTGCCCTAAAAGAAAAGTTTAAAAAATTCTTTGTTCGTTCTTCACCAAAAGAATCCCCAATGAAATTTTTTATTGGTAATTTACTTTCAGGTGGTTTTGCAGGTGTAGCTTCTTTAGTATTCGTCTATCCATTAGATTTTGCAAGAACTAGATTAGGAGCTGACACCGGTATAGGAAAAGGACGTCAGTTCACTGGTTTAGCAAATTGTCTTTCATCAATTTATAAACAAGATGGTTTCCTCGGATTATATCGTGGTTTTGGTGTGTCGGTAGGTGGTATCTTTATTTATCGTGCTGCTTTCTTTGGAGGATATGATACTGCTAAAGCAATGCTTTTAAGTGATCCTAAAAAATCATCTTTTTGGGCATCATGGGGAATTGCTCAATTGGTTTCAACTGTATCAGAACTTGCTTGCTATCCATTCGATACAGTAAGACGTAGATTAATGCAATCTGGAGGTCCTAATGGGATGTACAGCTCTTCATTGGATTGTTGGAAGAAAATTGCCCAGAATGAAGGTTTAACTGCTTTCTTTAAGGGTGGTCTTGCTAATATTGCACGTAGTTCTGGTGGAGCTTTGGTATTAGTTCTTTATGATGAAATTCAAAAGTTCATGGGTTTTGAGGGAGGTGTTGGAAGTGAATAAAGAACCAAGAAAACACTATCATTTTGCTATTATTAGCATTATTATTTTAAACTAAAAAAAATTTATTTTTTATCAATAAAAAAATTTCTTGATTGATTTAAACAGTTCAAATAAAAATTTTAATTTTATTTATCAAAATCTTTTTTTATCTGATATTTAATTTGTTATTTTAAGTTTCCTGAGTGTTTTGATAAAAAGTCCACTATAGTACAGTTATTGAGTTATCTTTTAATAATAATACCATATTTTGAAAATACCTTCTTAACAATTTGTAAATACCTTTTTTGTTGCTATTTTGGTAAAAAAGTAATAATTTATGAGTTGTTCTTTTTTAAGAAAAACACCAATTAGTTTCTAATGATTTTTTAGGAAGGAGAAGTATATTGTACTCTTGGGAATATTATTAAATATCCTAATAAGTTAAAAATTGTTCGACAGGTTTGAATTTGTAAAATGAATAAATAAATCTTAGGAGGTATTTTATAATTAATTTGAGTTGGTATTTAAATAATATTGTTAATCTTTTTTAAATACATAGTTTTTTCTTTCCCAACTTCTCTTCTGAATAATCTTCTATTTCCTTTTAAAGCTTTATTCCATTTTATTAATAATTTTTATTTATTTATTCAGCTAATTTTTTAAATTTATGGTTGTGGGTGAGTGACAAGGGCAAAAATCTGTACAAGATATATAGTTATAGTGGCTTTTGGTTGAAGGATGGTGATTACGGTGGTGACTCAAATGTTGAGAATGGTGACCCAAATGTTGAGAATGGCGACCCAAATGTTGAGAATGGTGATAGTTTGAGGGTGTTTTTTGAACAACAGCTTTAGCAGCTGATGTACCAGAAGCAAAGGGAGCAACTGATGTAACTTGAGCACCTGAAGCAATTGGTGTAGCTGAATTAACTTGATAGCCCATAGTAATTGGTGTGCCTGAGGCAATAGGGGCAACTGATGTATGGACAGCAGTAAGATAACGTTCAGCATAAGGAAAGGAAGATGGGAGTTGTACATTATCGAGTAAATCGCCTGATAGGTTTTTGTTGATAATGAAAGTTATCAATTTTACAATTCTAAAATGATTTTCCATATTTGATCTAAATGGAGTATTCAAAATTTTGTATCTCTTGTACTTTTGGGATAAATTTTTTACACATTGTCTACTTGAAGATAACCAATTGTTGAATATCTTTTCATTGTTATCGAGATTTGGTTGGCCTTTTCCTTTCTCTATTGGGCAAATTAATCTTTCTTCCCCAGAGAAATATTTATCTGCTAAGATATATTCATTTGGCTGTGATATTAACGAAGAGTTATTTTTTAAAGATTCACGATAGAGAGTAGTATCATCATAAGCTGCAGGATAAGGACCATGAAGGTGACATATCGTACCATTTGATATATTAACAAGCATTTGGTACTTTAATTCAGCTTTATTTCCATGTTTGGCAGATTTAAATTCAGAATCATGAGTTTGGAAAGGAAAACTTGCATTTTCGATAGCAGTTAAACAATAGGCACCAGAATTTTTTTCAAAATTTAAATATTTGACACCTTGATTATCAACAAATCTGTTCCTAATATCCTATTAGATAATATCAATAGAAAATAAAAAAATTAGAATTTATTGTTTTTTTAAATTAATTTTTTTTTAATGATTATTATAAATTAACATACAAGCTGTGGCATAGTATCAGTAAGAATCTCTAGACAACTCCATAAACGTTCTCTTAAATTTTTTTCTGATATTGAGTAGGTATTAGCGAGTACAAACATAGATTGATGGTTGGTGATAAAATCCATTAGTCTGATAAGATCCTCTTGATAGAATATTTTTAATGGAGAAATAATATTCCATAATGTTTTCATGGTATCCCTGTTACAACCAAGTAACCTTGATATTGTAGCATCTGAATAATCTTTAATGAGTTTTCTTTCACTTAGTTTTTTACCAGCCATAGTTTTTTTTTTATCATAGAGATTGTATTATATATATTTTAGTTTATATTATAAATATTTTATTTAATCTATTATAAAATATATTTTAACGAGACATATATATAGTAATGGTCTATTATAAATTAGGATTTTTTAATTTTACTTTTTATTATTTATTTATTTTTTTAAATTATATATTATTTTGGGTTTTTTTATTTTATTGTATGGTTAAATTAATATTATAATAATAATAAATATTTTATTTAAATTTGGTTTATTTAGAAATTGAGGATTCTATTTATTTATATAAAAAATTATTTAAATAGTATTTCGAAATTTAAAATCTTATAAAAATTTTTTTTTTAAAATTAAAAAATAATAAAAATTTTATAAAAAAAAAATTAAAAAAATTAAAAAAATTAAAATTAAATTTATAAATCGGGTCTTTATGAAAAAAAATTAATAAATTAAAATCTTATTTTCTTGATCTTAATGAATTTTTTTTTGGTGTTTTTTTAATTTAATTTTTTTTAAATTTATTCCCTTTTAATTGATTTGAAATTGTAATTGATTATTTTATTTTTTATTATTTGTGGTTAGATATTATCATATTTTATTTTCATCAATAATGGGAAAAAATAAGATAATTGTGCAATGCTTTTATTTTTATTTTTTTTTTTAATTTAATTTATATTTTTATTTTATATTAATAAATATAACAATTTTAATTATAAAAAGTTTTAAAAAACACGATCATTTTTTATGATATTATCTGAAACAATAAAAATTCTTAATGAACTTGGTAAAAATGATTCATTAATTGGGTGAGAATAGCGAGGACAATTTAATTCAAAATGTTTTAATGTTTGTGGCAATACATTTTCATTGATGGGATTATTAAAGCAACTAGCTGTAATAGACCCTTTGTTTCCAATAATTAATTTTGAAATTGAAGAAGGCAGGGATCCAGGTAAAAATAGTTGATTGAATCTATTTCCAAAAATCAAAGTTTTTAAAGATTGCGGTAAAATGTCAACAGGTATTTGATTATTAAAATTATTACCAAACTCCAAGTGGACCAGTTTCAAAGGAAGTGAATTTAACAATAGTTTTTGATTAAATAATGGAGAGAATACAATTTTTTCCACATTAGATGGTAATGAATTTGGGATGATTTGTTTATTAAAAAACTCACCAAAATTCAAATTCACTAATGAATGAGGTAGATAATTAATTTGTTGATTGAATTCTCCAAAATCTAACGACTTTAAATAATTTGGTAGGTAACCATCTTTGATAGGTTTGTTGAATCCTTTATTTTTTTTTTTACCCAAACATAGAGAAGTTAGACTCTCTGGCAGTAAACCAACATCCAGATCTTTTAAACCACTTGATATACAATTTAATTCCAACAACCCAACTGGTAATGATATAATTCTAAATGAGTCTACATAAACATTAATTTTTAGTGATTTTAAAGATTTTGGTAACATATCTCTATACAAATTATGAAATGAAGCTGTTTTGATATTTAATATTGTTACTGATTGTGGAACTGAGTTTATTTCTAATAAAAGTGAATTTGTATCTAGTTCTAATATTTCCAAACTATTCAAACCATTCAGTGAGTTTAAATTCAAATCACTATGAACTGTACTAATAATTGATAATTTCTTTAAATTTTTTGGATATAGTCCGATTAATTTTGGTACTTGTGACATTGTTAAATCTGTTAATGATGAGGGAAATATTGATTCATCATATATCTGTGTTCTTACTTTCAAGGTTTTCATAGATTGTGGAAGGATACCTATAACACTAGTATATGCCCAAGCTAATCCAAGGTCTAGAAAAGTTAATGTTGGTGGGAAAAAATCTTTGATGTTCCAAAAACCAATGGTTGAATTAAATGTTAAACTTGTAACACCTGAAGGAATATAATAATCATTTTGATTTAAAAACTTAACATTTTTAAATGTTTTAATAGAATCTGGAAAATTTCTTAAACAAGTAACGTTGATATCTTCATCAAGTGGAAATATGATTGTATCAACACTATTTGGTACTGATGCTGGATCTATTGAAGTAAGATATGATATATTTTCTGGTGGTGTTTTTGAAAATCGTCCAATTTCAATTGTTTTTAATATTGGAAATGAGAACCTGCTTAATGGTAACTCCAAAGTTCCATTATATTTTATTTCTTGTATATAACTAAAATATTCTCTATACTTTAAAATTTCTATTGGATCTAAATTTAATTCAATTTTTCTATACTCTCTAAATAGTGATAGATGTGTATATATTTTATGATTTAAATATTTATTTCGATAAACTTTAAAAAATAATATTTCAAAATTTTTTTCACTTTTATTATAATCAACCATTTTTATTTTTAAATAATTCAAAAAAATCTAAAAACATTTAAAAAAAAATTTATATTTTTTGATAAAAAATACAGAATCGTTCTTTCGTTTTTTATTTAAAAAAAAATTTTATTTTTTTTAAAAAAAAAGAAAAATTTTTTTATTGAATTAGTACACCTCGAAACACACACTTTTTTATTCTTCATATTTTATCATTTTTTGTCATATTTATGCAATTTTAAAGAAAACTCAACCTTGGTTTTCGATACAACCCAATAAAATTTTTTAAACAAATTTATTTTTTATTGTGATATTAATTTTTTTATAATATCATTAATAGAACATTTTTGGAGATCTGAAATATTAAACAAGTTTTTTTTGAACTTTTTATCTAACCAATTTTTTACCTGTACTACCAATAAACTATCGAATCCAAAATCTGAAAGTATTGTATTTGTATTAATATTTGATTCGTTTATTGATAATAAATCTGCTAATTTTGAAACTACTGCTTTTTGAATTTCATCTATGTGTTCTTCACTATTATTAACTTTTGTTAATTTCTTTTGATCGTTTAATGAGTTAATTTTAAAGCCAAATTTATGGGTATATAATTGACTAAAATGTAACTTTTCAAAGTTCATTTTATTAACTAATATGTTATTGTATTCTGTGTGTAGCTTTTGTTTATTTTGAAGTAAAAGGTCTAATGCACCTAAAAGAATATTGGTTGGCATTGCTTCTAAACCAATTCCATCTAATAGTTCACCGACTGATTCTGTTCTAGCTACAATACCTGAAGTGCCAATGTGTCCCCAATTTACAGATAAAGCAGACAGACCAAGTGATTTTCTGTATTTTGCTAATGAATCCAATACACAATTTGCAGAGACATAGGTACATTGGTTCATGGTACCAAATAATGATGATATAGATGATGCCAATATGAAGTTTCTCACATCCATTTGTATTTCAATGATAGCTCGTGTAAATTGATTGCTCCTATAGTTTTAGCACCATGTGATCTGTTTATACTTTCAGTACCAATGTTTATTGGCTCACATATATCATGCACAAAAGCATAATGGAATATGGAATCAATGTTTTTTATAGATGGATATTCATTAACTATATCATTGATGGCTGTTTCTATTTGGTCTTGATATTCGACATCGACACTTTTGAAATAATAGTTGATAGCTTTTGTGTTACTAGATTTTGATTTATTCATTAGTAGTTCTAATTCCCATTTTAATGTGGATTTTGATAGAATAATAATGTTTTCTACTGATATTGAATATTTGGAAATCCATTTTATAATTTCTAATGCAATTCCGCTTTGACCTGTAATTAATATAGTTTTACCCAGATCTGAACTGATTTTATAATTAGATTTGATTATTGGTTGTTGTGGTTCTTTGGTGGCTTCATCTTTATTCTGTAATAAATGATTTGTAATATCTCTATCGTAGTTTACAACAATTTTACCAATGTGTTTTCTTTGATTTATATATTCGAATGCTTCTTTGATATTGAGTACTGAGTATTCTGTAATTGGTATTAATGATAGTGTTCTATTTGAAATACTTTCACTTAATTTTTTTATTATATTGTTTACATATTCAAAGTCTAATAGTAAAATTTCAACATTTGAATATGTATAGTTGTATTTAAATTTGTTAAAGTTTATGAATTCATTTGGATTTAGGTGAGTGACTGATAAATCTACAATTCTTCCATCTTTATTTAAGCATCTAAAATTGGATTCTAAATATTCTGCGGGCAAAGTGTTTAATATAAGATCTACACCTTGTTTATTGGATCCCAATTCTTTAAGTTTTTGCTTGATTTTTTGAACATAGTCTTTGTTTCTAGTTGAATAGATACCGGTAATAAGTGATCCATATGTATCTTTCAAATATTTTTCTTTTTCATCTGAACCAACTGTAACAAATAAATGTGATTTGAATCCTTTCCATTTTAACAATTCAATAGCTGATAAACCTACACCACCAGTAGCTGAATGGATAAGTATTGATTCTTGATCCTCAATATCCAACTTCCCAACTTTGAAGATACTATGAAATGATGTTGCATATACCGTTGGTACTGAAGCTGCTTCAACAAAAGTTATATTGTTTGGCATGAGACATAGATGGTTTTTGTTTAAAATTATAGTGCTTGAAGATGTTCTGTTGTTAAAAGTGTAGATGTGGTCACCAACTTTAAAATTATCTACATTTTTACCGACCGATGTAACTATACCTGAACATTCAACTCCAAATTCTGGAGTGTGGATATCCGAATTGTGATTAATGAGTTCAGCAGGTAGATTTCTAGTATAAGTTAAATAGTCTATGTAATTGATGCCAGTTGCTTGAACTTGAACCTCTACTTGATCTTCACCTAATTGTTCCTTTGATTCTAATTGAAATTCCAAATTTTCATTTAAAATTGAATATAAATTATCCTTATTGCCATTTGGTTTTTCAATTGAATTTGATGTATACTTTTTGAAAATATTTGTTTCAAATTTTATTCTCTCGATATAAACTTTGTTGTCTCTTATAATAAATTCTCTTTCTGCATTACTTGTATCAATGAGTTGATTTATGAGTTGAGTATTGCTTATATTCATTAATGATTTATCATCAAAATCAATTGAAAATAATAATAATGTATCCAGTTGATCTAAAAAGAACCTGAATGAACCAGTTACTGATGATGCTAAATAGTTTGATGATTCTTTATAATAACAATTTTTTGATAATAGAACTAGTTTTGTTGATGTTAATTTATTTTTAAGTAAATATTGAACAATTTGAATGTATTCTAATGTAATTTGTTTAAAATTATTAATATTTAACTGATTAATAGTTTTAGTAAAGTATATAATTGTATTTTGATTAATATCTTTTGAAATATTATTAAATTGCTCTATTGTATTAGTTACAATTTGATTTTGTTTATCTTTTAAAAGATTATTTATAAATGATTGGTTGTTATTATTTAAATCACTATATACTATTATATTGCTATTGTTTGCATTGATAAAAGATTGGGCTTCTTGTTTTTGAGAATGTATTAAAATGTTGGAAATTCCATTACTCTTGTTCATTTTTATGTTTTTGAAATTATTTTCGGATAATATTTTATACCATTGATCTTCAGTCATACCACATCTGTCAGTTCTAAGCTCGGTGTCTTCAAATGACCACCATTGATCAAATACACCAAATATACTATCACCAACTAAAGATTTGTAGTATGGTTCGATAAATAGTAAATATCCATTATTTTTTAATATTTGATGAATTTCATTTAAACCAAATGATATTTTCTTGATTACATGTATTACATTTGACATTACAACAAAATCATAATAATTTGGTTTTAGTTGTTGGTTGCTGACAAAGTTATTTTCTAAATCCAATGTTTTGAATAAAACCGAAACATTGTCGATACCAAATGATGATAGTTTTTCTTTAGCACCAGGAATGAATGTTTGGGAGACATCACTAAAAGTATATTCGATTTCAATTTCGATATCATCTGATTCTTTACTTTTTAATAGTTGATTAATTTTATTTAAAATTTCAAAAGATAAAGAAGCTGTTCCACCACCAAACTCTATAATTCTAATAACATTCTTTTTCTTCATTAATGGTTTCAATGAATCTATGAGTATTTCTGATAATAATTTTTGATTTTTTGTGTAGTATGGATGGAGGTAAAATTCTTCTAATAGGCCATTATCATATAAGGACGATGGTGTTTCTAATTTATCTTTATCTCCAAATGGGAATAATAGATCTGCAATTATTTTTGTGCTTTTTGTCAAGATATTGCAGAAAACTAGTTTTTCTTCATTCCATTCAGATTCTATATACTCTTGTTGATAGTATTCTTTAGTCGTTTCAAATACAAAATTAAACAGTCTTGAATGTTTTTGATTCACTAAATATTTATCTCTTAACCATTGCATTGTATTATGTTTGATATCTTCTATTTTTAAATCTGGTACTTGATTTTTGATGTAGTAATAAATGATTGAAGGAATAAACATAATATAATTTTCTATATCCAATTCAGTGATAGTTTGTTGATGATTGAACAATTCTAAATTTGTTACAACTTCACAATCTTTTAACTGTAAATACGTTGTTTGAAATTCTTCTTGTGGGTATTGAATCTTTAATGGGTCTATTACTTGTATTGTAGATGTCATTGTAATCCTTTCAATTTCGAAGATAACTGTACCATCATCTAACATTATAGTGGTTGAATACTCGAATGAATCACCTTTTTTTCCATAATATCTTGAGAATACAAATAGATCTGAGGAATAGTCTCTTGGTAGATTTGATGAATAGAAATTAAGATTCTCTACTCTATCAAAAACCAAATGAGTATTTTCTTCAATTAAACACAAAGCACCATGAGCACAGCAATCTAAGGTAGCACAGTCGATTATGGTTTTGACATTCTCATGAATATGGTTAAATTTAACTTGATTTAGTATGCAATTATCACCGATAAAACTTTGTTTGATTGATTTAAAGAAGCCAGTGTAGACAATACCAGTTTTAACCTTAATATGATTATAGAAACTTTGATTGTTTAACATTGTTAAGTTGCATTTAGATTTTAAATGTTCAATATCCAATTTCTTTTCGTTTGCATTAGTAAAGCTAAAAGTTTGAAAATTACCACTTGAAGATAAAATCCATTTATTTGTATTGGGTTCGTAATAATGAAACTGAGCTCTATAGTCTTTCTTTGATGTTTGATAAAAGTTGGTTTGTAATTGTTTGTTTACACCTTCAATAAATATTAATGGTACTTTAAATTCTAAATGTGATATTATTAAATCTTCATTTGGGAAAGAGTTGATAATGTTTTCTATATAGCCACTGCCTGGAAAATAGTATTTTCCTTTTACTTGATGGCCTTTTAAATATTGAAATTGAGGTTTTTCAACATCAATAGTTGTATTATATGTTATAAATGGTGATGTTGTG